AGGGAAGTCTAAGATTCATACAGTATACGACTCACTTGACCATGACCCAAAATCCAGATCGTGGATCCAGTATATAACGAGTGTATCGATATTCAAATATCTTTAGTTTTGTAAGAGTCTCTTCATACGATCGTTCGTCCTGTGTGGCGCTAGTAGCAAGCGTAGAAAGCTTTATCACCGAGGATGGTCTTGTACCATGGTTGGAAGAGGTTGTCTGTGACCCCGGATCTACTTCACGAAACGTCTGAGAGTATGGATAAGGGTAATCTACAGTGGTAACATAGGAAATAATGATATCGGTTGTCGGACTCTGCACAAAGTTAGTATTTTATGATACCAACATTTATGAGGACTGACCTCGACGACAACGAGATTCGTCTCACGTTCTAAAAATGGTCGGCGTTTTGCTGTACATCGAAGCCAGAGCTCGGGGAACCATAAACCAACGAGACCTAACAATCCTAGAGAGCATAGAGTGCTGATATCCCACAGCCATTTACGCCATCGCACAAGCGTATATCCTATAACACGGATTTTGAGGTCTTCATCTTCAAGGTAAATATCCTGATGGCTAGGAGGGCCAGTGGTAATGGGCAATGACTTGACAGTCGAAACATCAGTCATGTCAATTCTCGTGTCTCCAAAAATCGGGTCTCTTCCCAGTCCTGGGAATGCTGCAACAGGAGAAGATGGTCGAGAATGGCTTCCTCTACTACTTGCTGGGTAAAGACTTCCGGGCAAAGAGGTCGCGTCCTCGTCTGATGCATCCTCTTCGCTTGAATGATAACCCCAGCGATCCTCTCCCTCATCTTCCGTTGGGCTTTGGGCATAATCTATGCTTCCTCTGCGTGATCTACTGCCCTGGGATAGCCTCGACGGAGATTCTCTCCGGCCAAAGAAGCTCACGAGATTCCCAAACATTGACGTTCTCCGCGCACTCTCCTCACCAGGCGAGATAAGATTGTCATTTTCGTCCGTGTTTCTCTTTCTTCGACCCCTTCTTCTGTCTGATATTGGAGAACTTGTTTCTTGATCAGAGTCCACCACGGCATCTGCATTAGCGCTTGTGGAAGTTCCGCGTCTGCTGAGTATGGGCCTCGACATGTCTCTGTCAGAAATTTGTGAGCTCGACTCGAAAGCATGACTACTCCTGCGGGAACGACTGAGAAAGCTCCGCGTCCTTGACCTTCGAAGACCTGTTACACTGCTTGGTATTGTTACTGATCCCGGTCCATCAAATATCGACCCTGTAGCTTCATCTTGATCTCTGAAAGAGCTCATTGAGCGCCGTGGTTGATAACTGCTGGCCACTTGCAGGTCACCGCGCCCCCTCGGTGTCTCGCGGATGACATTTTGGATGTCTTGAGCAGAAGCACCGTCGGTATAGTCTAAGTCATCCTGGGTTAAAGGTGAACTCATTGTTCAGCCAAGGCCGAGAGGGCTGTGGTAATAGCTGGTGGTAGTGGAGTCGAAGATTGTATACAGTAATGAAAAAGGAAATATACAAATACGTATGGCTACAGAAGGGCGTCGGCCTAATATGTCAGCACAAGTACATCTATCAAAAATTATTTCCTAAACATTGCATCTAATGTAGTTTTTTGTTTTCGCTCGACTTGATAATGTATCCTGTGTCTCAACCTTTGAACGGAGTCCTTCACCCTTGTCCGCGCTAATGTCGCCGACTTCAGATCGACTATCAGGATATCAGCCAACATCCATAAATCTTGATAGCTCAACATACCTATTTTACCTTGGATGATGGTCAATCTCTCTACTATAGTCTCCAGAGACGTGGTTTGTGCCTCCTTGTAAATCGGAACATCCGTCAAAACTACTCCCAATAGCTTCGTGTACTGATAAAGAGCATCATATTCAGTGCCTTTCCATATTCTGAATGGAGTTGTGGGGTTGAGTTTAGGGTCGAGCATCTCGACGAGGGGAGCTAAGCTAGGTGGTTGCGAATACGCATTCTGGACACTTTATGAATACAGCTCCGGACGAATATGAATAATCACTTACCCAA